TTATTTCTAATACAGTCGTAAGAAGTTTTAAATGGCCCGGCATTCTGGTGTGCAATGTTGTGAACATCTGTCCCATTTTTCTGGCGTATGAACGGGGGAAGTTTTTGATCAATATTATCTAACTTTATATCTTGTCTTAACATTAAAATCGCCACATACAATGAATTTTGCTTTCAGCTGTACCAGCGACAGGAGTATCAAATTTAATTATACACAACACATGTAGAATATTCACAAACGGTTAACAAATACAAAAAGACGAGGTACTATAAAATAACCAAATGCATGATTGACACACCGGTTACAATACTGTATTTAATATTTTATTTCCTGGGCAAAGCTGAAACAATTATTAATACAATTTAAAGATACACGTTTTTTCATATAAAACAAAACCAGTTATTGTACTGCTTCGAATCGGCACCATATTCTATTCATCTCCGTGTTAAAAAGGCATTTTATTATTACACTGAAAATTGTCTCCCCTGAAATTATATATTGTTTCATTTATCTTTTTCAAATACAGCAATTACATTTGTTTCTACATTGAATTACATAATAATTTCTAAATCCTCTAGCCAACAGGTCATCTATAAACGACGTCACGCTTTTTTTTTGACGATTTTTACCTCCCCCCCCCCCCTCCCCTCCGTCACACGTCGTTACAAAAAGCCAGACCCCCCCCCCCCCCCTAAAATGACGTTACACCTCAACCTAAATTTTTTCCAAAATCTTGTCTGAACTCTGTCAAAATAGAGTATTTTAATCAATTGTTATTACAATTTATTAAAACAGTTTTCTAAAACGCAAAATAACGTCTAAAATTCGTTTTCTAACATTGCTTTTTTATAATGCAAAAGTGTGACTCACACCATCTGAACCCCCCCCACTCCCCTCATCACACACCGTCACAAAATTGCGGACCCCCCCCCCTCTCCCTACGAGTGTGACGTCATTTATGGACGACCCCTAAAGCTCCAATAAATGAAATTAATTTACTCTAAAAAATGACATTTTAAACATTTCAACGAGTCTAAGTCTATAACTTGTGTTTAAAGACACATATACAATAATATTTCCAGCACCGCAACAGGCGCAGAAGAACTCTGCAATATTCCACATAGTTGTATCCAGATTTTCATATTCTCTCAGATTCAGCCCTGGGATTGTATGGTGCGCCGTTGTTACCACTAACCTCGGAATGTTGCAAATTGTCAAAATCACGGCGACAAACAGCACAACTCTTACTAAGCGTTTCTCTTGGTTTGATAGTTTAGTTATTTTGTTTTTGCTATCATGTTTTGATTCGATGAACTTGACAGGTGTTGAAATACCTCTTTCATTTCGAAATAACGCTGGACGCTTTTAAAGAATAGACCATCCATAGACTACAAACGATCAGAGTGGATTGAGAAACGACGGACAAAACCATCGCTGCGATTGTATCTATTATTATATCAAGTTTAGCTGTGTCTTCTGTGAATAAAATAGTAAAAATTTGACTGTTCATTGTTGAGGTGTTAACGTTACTTGATTTCTGTTCGACCCACTCCATTCTTTTCAAAGTATAGATCGGTAATATGATTGCTATGTGGACGAGGTATAATATAGATAATATCATCAAACAGCGAGATCTTGTGAATATATGTTTGACTTTAAATGGGAACACCACGCAGAAGCACCTCTCAATTGAAATGACGGTAGTTATCCAGCATGAAATAAGATACAACGCGTATCTCGCCCAGGCGAAGGCGAAATAATCTAAAGCCCAAAAACTTACAGCATTGTCCGGGTAGACCGTGTCTAGAAGTAGACACAGACTTGACCCGACTTGGAAACTCGCGACAAAAAAATCCGTGACGGACAGGACAAACAGGCAGACGCAGTAGCGTAGCGAGGGGGGGCGGGGGGACATATGTCCCCGGGCGCCGAGCTTAGGGGGCGCCAAAATGGGTTGGAAAAATAAATTGAAAGGTTGAGGGGGGTGCAAATTGAAAGTTGAGGGGGGGGGGGTGGGGGGGGGGTGCAAATCAAAATCTCGAGGGGGGGTGCCAATCGAAAGTTTGAGGGGGGGGGGGGCTGCAAATCAAAATCTCGTAGGGGGGGTGCAAATCGAAAAGTTTGTCCCCGGGCGCTTGGAAGGGTCGCTACGCCTCTGGGCAGACGCTCATGCTGTCTTTCAAACCCTGCAGCCTAAAATTGGCCATATTCAGACCGTTGGACGCCATTCCTAGCAGAGCGATCAACCCCCGCATAGTGACGCCAATGGTTAGCTCAAGCACGATAAACCCATTCTTTGGTGGCGGCGATGTTCTGTAGTTCTTCAACACTCGGCATCTTACAGTCTATCTCACCAATGTTTGCTGCCAACAAAGACACATACACACATTGTATTTATAAATAAATATATATGTATCATATATGAATATATATACATATATATATATATATATATATATATATATATATATATATATATATATATATATATATATATATTATATATATATATATATATATATATATATATATATATATATATATATATATATTATATGTATATATATATATGTATATACATATATATATATATATATATATATATATATATATATATATATATATATATATATATATATATATATAACAAATGTGTACAATATAAACAAATCACCTACATTTCTTGAGTTCCTCTACCACACATACTTAGTTCTATAGCTGAGGTTACTTTAAAGTAAAATAAAAATGCAATTACAAATATAATTCAGCGTTAGACCAACTTTAAAAAATTGTGTCGATACTGTAATGCTGTTATTATTTTTTTTAATTTGACTTACTTAATATTGGGACGTCTCTGTTATAATTTTTTTCTCTCTCTCTAAACAAATGACGTGCTCTTATACAATTAAAAAATCAATCTCTTTGTTCTCTGTAAGTTTACCTAACAATTTCCCCTACCCGACTGTTTCTTTACACAAAACCCCCCACCCTCCCCGCACACATACACGGGATAAGTATGGGCGTATCTCCGGGGTATTGTTAGTTTATTGCAAGTAGCGACCATACAACAAACAGTGGGTTTTAGCTGGTTACCAAAACACGGGTTTCTTTTATAATTGATACGTACATTCACTTCTTTAAAATTAATGTTTAAAATTGCTAACGTTTATAAACATTTATTTTTGTTTAATGTTGGAAATAATTTTTCTTTAATTTTACAGTGTTGGAAGTAATAGTCACGTTGGGAACATTTAATCCAATTTACAACTCCTTTAACTTATAATGAAAGTTTATTATTTACTGGGTGTACACTTTTGTTTAGAATTTGTTTACAGCGAGACTTTTTTAGATTTGAATTATAAATATTTATTTATTTTCTACACCGTATTTTTCGCTTTTTTCAGCTTTCTGTCAACATCATGTTATAGGCTTACTTGGAATCTTATGCGCGAAATTCCAGAAGAACAAATTTGTTCTGAAGATAATTTAAAAAAAGGGAAGAAGGAGACAAACACATATTTTATATGTTGTGATAAGCAGACCTCAATTATGAAACTAGTGAAATGTGGGGTTTTGAACCCTTGTCGCCTGGATGGCATGCGTGCGTTTCTTCCGCTAGACCACCCCGGCTCTATTAAACGGGGATAATATCATTAACAATTAGTGCTGTTTTCCGACTTAATAGTCATTAATTCATTACTTGTTGTATACATATTTTCTGCTTACATAGAAAGTCTATCTAACATTCACAACATAATTCAACACGTATTTTATTAGTCAAATAGTTTTTCCACACATAACAAGACTTTTTTTCTGTTTTCTATAAGTGGAAACGCACAGTGTCTTTTTCCACCCTTCTTTTCACGTTTTCTTAACTTTGCATTTTTAAGCAAAATTCAACATTCAAATCACTAAGGTTTTGGAACCTTTTGTCATATAAGACAGAAACTTTCCACATGCATTAAGCATTATACCATCTACAATACATTTATATATTCAGTTTAAAAGCAATACGTTAGGGTATATTAATATTAAAGGCAGCACTACCACCTTATTTTTCACGTTGTGTGACGTAAAAAATTGATTGTATTTAGAAAGTGCATCCTAGCTATATAACATGAAAAACAAATCTTTAAATAGATTTTATGAATCTTTTATGAGAACAAAGTTATAGAGTTTTCAAAAGGTGTGAATTCGCCCACTTTTTTTTAGGTTTCCATATCAACCTTAACTGCTAGTGGTGAAGTTCTACTATATATAGTTTAGACACTATTAACAAATGGATTTATTAAACACCCTGAAATATTAAACTTTTTTTTTCATCTGTTGTATGTATCTTTAGCCCAATAAAGAAAATTGCTATGCCATTTAAAATTCTTTCAACCCAGTCATAACCCCACAGCTGAGTAACTTATTAAAAATCAACACCCGGACTATCAATATTTTCTAGAAACACCATATTTGTTCATGGTGATCCTGCCTCTACCGTAGCTTAGATTTTTATCTGAAAACGTTACGGCAATTTTTTTTGAATGGACAGAAATTGTCTGCTCACTTTATGAATTGAAGTTGTCAAAATGGTAACAACAGAATTTCTAAAATCACGGAAAAGATAGCTTTTATGATAAATATTTAGTTGGTATATTTTGTTTTATATACATTTTTTTGCTTGGATTTAGCTACTGTAATTGTGTAAGTCATAAAAAAAATGAAACTTATTGTCCAGCGTAACTATACAGGAGTTTTATGTAACTAGTTTAATTTGCAATATTTTAACAGTACGTATTTATAAGGTGTCTATATAAGATTCTTGTATGTAATTGATGAAACCGTTCGTATTTAAAATACACCCGATAAAAAAGGTCTACTCCCAACCGTAAAACTAAAAACAAATATCATTATTTTAATATATTTTGATATGCAACTTAGCAACAACAAAACCGTTCACTTAGGAACACTAATTACTCATTCTAAAAATAAACACAAACCAATGAAAAATGTCTGTTTGATCACAGTGTTTTTTATTGATTGATTTCCTGGGCAGGACGGAAGCAAAAATTAAAATAAATAATAAAATTAAGGGGAGACGACTAATGTACAGAAACAGTTAATGATCAGTCTAAAACATGAAACGGAAGTGCGTAATATCAGCTCAGCAAACCATTGGGCGTCTATAAATAACTTTGTGTGTGTATAGCAACAAACACATACAATTTAAGTACATAAAGACTACTGTGTTTAGTTAACTATTAAGCTTAATCGCACTACGCGTAAACAAAAATTTTTAAACACAAATGCAAAATAAAACTCAATAAATATTTTTACATAGTCACAGCTCGATTGATGCAAGTAATTTCAAAGCCTTAAAGTGGTCATTTAATTTTTTTGACAAAAGAAATAACATCACTTTTTAAAAGGCTGAACGAAATTTAGGTTTACAGGTATAATTTTAATTTAAAAAAAAACAACTAAAACATCCGTACTTCACATAGAAATGTGTTCATGTCATCTTGTGTTACTATAACAAGTACAGTAAAAACCTCACACATCATTTAAATAAATGTTCATTTAAAGTAAAATCTCACCACTACAGCACGAACATGAATGTATATTTGAGAGAGAATTTAAAGATTTTTTTTTATTTTGGCGTTATTTCCCTTGATATATATAAGTTAAATAAGGGAGCTAAGCAAGAAATTTAGTGATGGGTCAAAAGCGTAAAGTTATGTATGTTTTGTTAGTGTATATATTGTGCATTGTAAATAAGTGTATTAAGAAGCTATATAAACCGGTAACAATTGAAAGTGTTAGGGATAATACTGTTTTAATAATAATACGTCGTGCTGATTATATAAGGGAAGAGGGGAGATCACAACGGGGTTTGGGTTTTCTGGGATCCTGAATTATAAATAATAATTTAATTTTAATATAAAGCAATTTTTTTTTTTAAATCTCTATTTATGAACGGTTTAGCTAATGAAGAAATGAATTACTGTATTGTCTTTAAATTCATTCAGCAAATGATAAACTAAGGCAAGAGTTTATATGATGATGATATGCTAGCATTAGCTAATCTATGGCTGTTTAAAAAGCTACTTTCGATATTCAGTCCAGTCACACGTTTTATTTAATATAAGGATTTGTTTTTTTTTCTCATTGATGAATCGAACAAAGTGCAATACAAAATTCATTACGTTCTTAGCGAAACTATTGTTATTTTCCTACATTCAATTGTATCATTTTATATTCGTTATGTACGTTGAGAATAACTAAAACCAATGTATACGTTTCAAGAGATAGTTTTAAAAAAATGTATACCTAACAAAGTATTTTATAAAATATGATTATTTATAAATATATCATTCGTTGTATGTGATGTTTTAGTATAATTTTTCTTTAGGCTTTTAAACATGCTTCTTATTACAAGTTTCTAAACAATTCTAACAAAAAAATACAGTATATTAACAGGATTTACAATGTTAAATAAAAGGAGAAAAAAAATCTATAATACATTTTATTGCACATACAGTCGGCCAACATATTAAATTTAAATTTGTTAAACAAAATAAGAAGTAACATTTTAAAATAAAACGATTAACGTAATTAAAAGAACACACAAAACAAAACTTCAACATAGAAATGTGCACGAAAAAAGAAATCCATGCGACCTCTATATGGTACAGCTAAACCCAGTTGTCTAAGGCACTCATGTGGGTAATAGTAAAATTTACTTTAGAAAAAAAAAACGAAACAAAAATGCTTCTAGTTATTTATGAGTAGTATGTACATAATTTGTTAAACTAGTTGTGAATAAATAAGGCACACTTTCTTGGAGTCTGGGATCGGTTCTGTTTAGGTTTTTTTAGTTATATTTTTTTTGTTATTATACAAACAAATATTTTTTTTTAATTATTGTCTTAAAATGTAGGCCTCTACTTCTGTTTTACAGTAAAAAAAGTACCAGTAACGAAGATTAGCAGTTTCTAACAATAGGTGTACATTATAATTGATAAAAAATGCAAATTTCGCAACAATTTATAGTTGAATGTTTTTTAAGTACATTTACTGCAATATGGATTATACTTCATTATTTTCATTTTTTTCAAAGTGACCTAAGAAAATGTTTTTATATTCGCTTTTGGTTTATAAACTCAATTTGATAATAGATGTTCCTTTCTATTTTTGATGTGATTTGGTTTATGTATTCAATTTGTAAGGAGATATTCTTTCATATTTTTGGTGTGATTTAGATAATCTATCACAGTGTTGGTGTCAGCCCGTCCATCGTTAGATGGCGTCTCGCAGGGGGGTGTCAGGTGGCGGGGGGGTCAAGCTGGCTCCAGCTCTAGAAGTCAGACACGCCCACCTCCTGGTAGAACGGCTGCTGCTGCTGTTGCTGACCTGGGCTGTACACTTTAGGCTTGGGGGAGACGGCTGGGGCTTGCTTGGGCTTGACTCTGTGGAGAGTGAAGCGGGGTTAGGGGGTGGGGGTGGTTACAGAATGTGTCTGAAAAATTCCTAATCTAACATTTAAATATTTTTTTTACAAAAGATATAAATATCAGGCTTACAAATTAAAAAAAAAATACCACGTAAATATTCCATTTTTTTCTAATTATTTTTGTATGCTAATATTAATTAAATTAAATCTTACGAAAGTATTATAAACAAACTAAGAAGGTATATACTTAATTTCTTAACAACATTTTAAATCATATAGTATTTTGAATAATGATATTGTGCAAATGTATTCTGAATAGAAATTATAATACACAACACGTAACCACATGAAAATAAAATATACAATGAGCGTAAAAAACGATTAAACAAAACATGTTAAAAGTAGTTAGTGTTAGAGTAATAAGTTAGTTTCGCCATGACCACAACATGGTTACAATGTAAATTTAAGCTCAGCGTAATTTCAGAGGAGTGTTACATTTTTCAAATCGTTTAGAATCACGTTAATTTAAGGTAAATACATAAGTTACATTAGATATAAGTGTTATTTTTCGTTGTGTTATTAATGCTAAACACAAGAAATTGCACATGCAGAACGGTGTTTTATTGATGGCTACAATAGAACGAATGTATAAAGTCTAATATGCACAGTCCTGTGCAGTAGACAAACAATAATGAGAACAATAACATTTTTTTAACTGCAGAAAAACAGTGGTGGGCGAAAGTTTACATGAAATTGAGTGGGGTTTGCGGTTATTTTTTTTAATGATGATAAGTCAGTGATAATATTGTTTCCTAACGTGCTCGGTTTTAGGAACGTTTTTGCTTGTATAAAAATAAATCAGCAGAAGGGTGTGGTAGTTAAGAGTGGGGGGGGGGGGGAACTAGCTATTGTAATGTCGAGGTAGAAGTTCGTGTGTGGCCACCACCAAATGTTTGCATCCACACCGTGAGTGGTTGGGACATTTATGGTCATTAATAGAAACAAGTTGCAGCATTATAAAAGGGCACATGTGCCTGATGTTCCTTAATAGAAACTAATTTTAACATTATAACTGCTAAAATTTTGCTACTGCTCATTAAAAGAAACTAGTTTCAACATAAAAATTTGATTATTTGGCCACTGTTTTATTGCATGTAAAAAAAAATTCCATTAGAAAGACATCTGCGTGCCAAATATTTTCAATCTCGGAAAAGTTTTTTTTCTTTTTGACACATGTTCAGTGTATTACATTACCTGTATTTCATACACGAACGTGTTAAAATGTTCAAGTATTTTTTATTTCTAATTACTCTTGTTAACGTTCAGAGTGAGATGGTTTCTATGCCATACCACAATATATAATCTTTAGCATAGCTAAAGTTGAAGATTATTTTACGATGTATCAGTGGGCGGTGTAACCGGAGCTTCGATGTGTGTATTTTTAACACTTGGTAAAACATACCACAATATATAAGCTTAAGCATAGCTAAAGTTGAAAATTATTTACAATGTATCAGTAGGCGGTGTAACCGGGGCTTCCATGTGTGTGTTTTCAACACTCGGTACAACATTTACGCGTGCAAGATGCAAAGCCATGCTTAGTTCATCAAGCGTTTAAGTGTAAGCGTGATACGTCAAGCTTATGAGTGGGATGAGATAGGCGCCATTACAATCAACTTATACAACCCGCGTTTTATTCAGGTCAATATATAGGGGTAGGGTTTTATTATTTTTTTAAAATAATGCAACAATGTTTGTGCACACAAGTGGTCGAGTGCTTGTGGTCTACGGGTCGAGCTAACTCGGGTGGGTTCGTTCCCTGGCTCACCTGCTGTCTTCCTGATTGATAAATCGGAGAACGGCCGATTGGCTCCAGTCCCGTTCACCTGAATCGTTAGTCGCAGGCTGGGATGGTTTCGAACCGGTACTGAAATTGTATGCATCAGAGGTAACACTCTCGATGTAACTTCAACAAATGTTGAGAGAGAACTGATGAGAGCTTGTAAAGCAAAACATTTTTTTAAAAGAAAACTGAACATTAATAATAGATTTGGCAAATGTTTTAAAATTATTTTCTTCTCTCTAATTAAGTTTTCTTCTAAGTATTTTGCTAATTGGTTTAGAAAAACTGATTTTAAAAAACAATCAAATTTGTATAAGTAACCTAATGTTTAGTTTCTAAAATAGTGCTTGCTGTTATGGTAAATATAATTTGAACTAATATAATGAACTTTATTTTTTATGATTTTGAAGCTGGTCTTTACTCAAAACGTCAAGATAAAAACTGTTATTAAAATGCATTTTTACAAATGTTGTTGAAACTAAGGTATAGCTGCATTAATTAGTAATAGCGTTTAATGCTAAGTAGATTAATATGATTAATTAGAATATTAACTTGTTCAAAGGTTAACTTTAATTGTTTGAAAAAAAAATGAAGTTAATTAAAATAATTTAAAAAATTTATACAATTGAGTATGCTATTTTCTACAATGCGGTTTAAAATAAACTACACACAAATTTAAAAACCACTATCTACGTTTATATCAAACAATATTCATTTTACATGTGGGTAAAAATAATTACACTGCAAATTGGCCCAGGTAAGCTCCTAAAGTTTCAAATTCAATTGGTTTATTTGCTAGATATATTTTATAAACACTTTACAACAACTAGGGACTTTTATAGGAAATGGGATTCATTGCGAAACATCAAAATCTATTGTATACAATACTATTGGCTATACTAAGGAACATACTGAGGTTTAAATACAACTATAATATTTCTATATGTTGATATTGTTTTGCTAACATGCCATAATACACATTTGTGATTTACAATTTGACGGATCCAATTATTGAAAAAAAAAACAGGCTTTCTGAAAATGTATAATGTTTTCAACCTGTCAACCATTTGTTTTGGGATTTGCATTTACAGTGTAACTCAAACAGCTTAACCATCATGTGTAGTTCAGACAACTTTTTAGTAAATATAGGAAACATTTATCTGCCTAATAGAGAAATGTTTTAGTTGCGATCTAAAACGCCATTTCCTACACTTAATAGAAAACATCGTTCGAGTCTTTTTAATCAGGCTAGTTACCATGGTAACGCTCTCCTAATACAAATATTATGTATTATTTTCAGCCTCTTTAATTTTGTACCGTCTAGGGTTTTCCCATTTTGTATCAATTTTTCATTTTTGTGATAATCTGAATAATCGAGATATTTATAATTTCGAAATGAGAAATACCGTATTTTAAAAACATTTTTAAATTCGATAGGTTATTTAAGTTTTTATGAGAAAATAAATCTATCCCTGAAAGCAAGAGTTTAGGTTCATGTAAAAATGTCACTATTTCACGACATCACAATAGCTTTGAACATGCAACCTGGGAATCCCAGCTTACACGATGCAAAAAAAATAAAATAATAAAAACATCATAAAGGGAAGGAGGTAGGGTTCTGTTTTTTTGTTGTTGTTGCTGTTGGCTGTATAACTCACGTCTGCCCAGATAAAGCCTGGGTCTGCCCGTGGAGGGTCTCCGCGACGTTCTGACTGGAGTACAGGCCCATGGGGGAGTTGTACTGCAGGTGCACCACCTTCGGGCCGTTTTCAGACCCTCCCACGTCCGCCCCGGGTGCCGGGGTGGGCGAGAACGGCCCGGCGTGGGGGCCGGGCTGTGGGGAGTAGGGCACCGACCTGACGGGGTCCTTAGGGAGGGCATAGCCAGTCTCCTGCTCCCAGGGCTTGACGCCGGTCGACTTGAGGGTGTTGCGCCAGGCGGGGGTGCCTTCCTCGTCCAGGGGCTGCTGCTGTTGCCATGATGCAGGAGCCTGGGGAAAGGCAAACAGACATATATATATATATATATATATATATATATATATATATATATATATATATATATATATATATATATATATATATATATATATATATATATATATATATATATATATATATATATATATACATATATTTATTTATTTATTTATTTATTTATTTATATATGAATATATATATATATATATATATATATATATATATATATATATATATATATATATATATATATATATATATATATATATATATATATATATATATGAAGATATATTTATATGAAGAGTTGTGAAGAATGTTTTACAGGATGTCTTGTAGATCTCATTTGTCCATTCTGTGGTAAGACACGGACTACGATAGGGACAGATATATTTCGTTGGTGAAAATTTTCTTCACATGATTTAAGTACACAAGCAGATGAACTCTACTGTTTCTGCTCTAGTTTTGACCCGGTCTTCTAATTAGTAATAGGTCTCAGTTGTTCTTTCTTCATGTTCAGTTTTAATTTTAAAATACATTTTTACATAATTCTTGTGTATCTTAAAACTAATTAATAAATTCAACGACCGTATTTCCCGATACATGAGACGACATTCTAATCTTAAAATCTTTTTTAAAAGTCGCATTGTTGTTGTGTAAGAACAACCCTATCTGTATCTATTAACTTGAATAACTCGACTGTTGCCTTATACACCAGAATATACGGTAGCTATTTAATCATACGCTGATATTTATTGTGATGAGCAGTGTTTCTTCCAGACTTTTTTCTCCGGGGGGGGGGGACTTGATATTTTCGAGGGGGGGGCGGACACTGGTAAAAGTATATGTTTTCTATATTAATTCCATTTCGTTCGAAAGGGGGTAGACTTTCTTCGGGGAGGGGGGGGGGGGCTCCGAAATGCCTGTAAGAAACTCTGTTGATAAGGCGAGCTAGAAGCAAAGACACCAAACCTGAGGGGAGTACTGTGGAGCGGGCTTGGGCGCTGGTTTAGGGGCGTAGGTCACCGCCGCTGGGGAGTAGCTCGCTGGTGACGCCGGTGCGGGGGTTGGCTTGTAAGCCGGAGCAGGGCGCCAGCCGGCGTTGGATGACTTCTGACGGCTGTAGTCCACCCCGAAATTGCCGTAGCTGGTCGGCCCTGGTTGAGGCTTGGGAACCCGTGGTGGGGGCTTGTTAGCCGGAGTTCGTACTGTTGGGAGGATAAAAAGGTATGGTTAGCCAGAGTGTTCGTACTGTTGGGAGGATAAAAAGGTATGGTTAGCCGGAATTTGTACTGTATGGAGGATAAAAAGGTATGGTTAGCCAGAGTGTTCGTACTGTTGGGAGGATAAAAAGGTATGGTTAGCCATAGTTGGTACTGTTGGAAGTATAAAATGGTATGATTAGCCGGAATTTGTTCTGTTAAGAGAATGAAAACATGTATTTTGCCGGAGTTCTTGAAACGAACTTCTGGCAAGAATGAACGAAAGCAAGTACCGTTGACGTATCTTAGGAAAAAAATATCAATTTTACGGTACGATTATGGTGAACAATTATGAGTTTTAAAAATTAAAATAGGCATAATCATATTTATGATTCATGAGCTGCTCATAACATACCAACAATAATATTCTGATAATGAAACATTTATTTTAGTTGCACATCTTTTTTCAGTTCATAATTTTTGTATAGTTTTTTAAACATTTTGAATGATTTATCATAAGTACATTTTCTATTGGCAATCAGACGAGGCAAAAGAATACAACTATACATACTACAAACACAACGTGCTTAAAATTTTACTTAATCTAAGAATCTATCACAAATAAAAACATCGATAAAAACCAAAACAAAATCATAGAAAATAAAATTGTTTCAATACTTAAAAAAATAAAAATGTAAATTAAAAACTGTAAGCTAAAAACGTAGTTAAATAAAATAAAATGACTATATGTATATATAATCACTTAAATTTGTTATGAAGCCTAAAACGTAAATAAAATAATCTTTGTTAATGAAACAAAGCAAAGCCACCCGTACTGAACACAAGACGCAGCGCACTACATGTGTCCTATGTTATGGTTCTAGAAACCCGTTTCCAGGCAGGTCGGTGTGACGGGTTCAAATCCACGTGAAGAGCTACCTCCGAATGTCATTTTTTTGTTATTGTTTTTTTTTCTATACATAGTTTTATGATGTCTAAAACCTATTTCTTTTTAAGTGAATCTCAATCGTGTAGTTAAATTTATTATACATTATAAATTTACGTCAATACAATAACATGTAAGAGGCAAGACCGAATTATCGTTAACATATTTCGAACATTCTTTCATAGAGTTTTACTTATAACATCACAATTACTACCCTGTTTTATATCCATCGCCTTCTATCAATACTTTGTGAGCATTCTTTGAATTTATTGATATGTATTTAGCCTGCAATTAATGCAATCACCCCGCTGTTTTGAAATATTCTTCTTTGCCATAATACTACTACAATGTCTCCCATATCTTTCAAACTATTTTACGTCGAATGTTTAGATTCGTCTCTTTGAAGCTATTATTTATGTATATTTTTGTTTACAATAACATTATTTAAATTTATTTTTCTCTATTTTTTTCAAAATGTATTTTTTGGATCGTCTCTTCAGATTTGATTTACAACATCTATTTACAACATCTACATTTAGATGCAGAGTATTTTTATGCTTTTTGACAGTTTATTTAGATTCGATTCACTGCTATCAGCTACTATTTCAGTGATTTCTTGCTTACAAAAAATGTAGCTCCATAGTGTAATAGACCATTTAATGATTGCACATTGTAAATCCAAGCACAAAGACAGTGCTCTAAAGTTGATGGACCCAAGGGACAGGACAGGGTAATCATATCGCCTAAAATGCTCCACTCCTGTTTGATTTCGGAGTTTTCTTTCTTAGATGGGTTGCTGTCCCCATTTAACAAACCCCATTTTTACTTTCTCGTATATACATAGTATAGAGAAAGTATTGTAATCGTGCAAAAAAAAATAATCGAGATTTTTACAAATCTCGACGTTTTACACCTCACTGATACGGAAAAACATAATTTTGCAATCTTGTCCGTATGTCTGTGTGTCTGTGTGTGTGTGTGTCTGTGTGTGTCTGTGTGTAAACACGATAACTTGAGTACCGTTACAGCTAGGTTGATGAAATTTCATATATAAGTATTTTATCAAAATCGTAGATCCGTATCAACTTTTGAGCGATTTTCGATAACCGGAAGTGGTACTTTTTCTACTTTGAATTTTTCAAAAGACTATAACTTGAGTACTATTTCAGATAGATAAATGAAATTTCACATGTAAGTAAAAGATCTAATTCTCTACCTTCTGTTAAATTTTGAGTCATTTCCGTTGACGTAAAGTACTAATTTACGCTATTTCCGATTTCTCAAAAACGCATCTAAATTTATAAAGTAATAATAATATTGCGCACCATTATGAACATCTTTATTCGGCGTTCGCTTGGTGTGCAATACTTTTTTCTATGAAATTCTATTTTATTTTAAAAAGTTTATGTATTTAAAATGGATTAAAAATCATAACTATATCCCGAGTTCCCATCCCGTGTTGTTTTATATAAGAATATTCGAGAAAGTTTAGGGGAGATCACTCCCGGTTTATTAGCTTTACATCTGTGCAATTTTGCTGTGACGCTAGTAAAATCTTTTTCAACTATCTTCAAATGTTTTATGACAGCCTCTTTGTATTTGCCTCACTACAGCCTTACGCCCGTATAGTTTTTCCTAACAACGCCACTAAAATTCAATTTCAACCAATTCCAAAACAAAACTATTTCTGGACCGCCTCTTCGTATTTGTCTCACTAAAGCCTAACGCCCGTATATTTTTTGCTAACTGCGCCACTAAATTTCAATTTCAACCATTTCCAAAAATCTATTTTTAGACCGCCTCTTCACGTGAAGGTGACACCACGTGACACGTGCTGACTGGCTACCTGCCGACGACTGACCAGCCCCGCGCTGCTGGAAGTGTTTCCTCCTCTCCCACACGGGGACTATAGCCTCACCCTCGTCTTGTTGCTCCTGCAGACGCTGGTTCTCCAGCAGGAGTCCCGTGGGCGTGAAGACCTGCGTGGGCGGCGGCTGGTACGGCTGCACCGCCGGCTGGTATGGCTGGGGGTCGTAGCCCTGGTAGAAGGGGGAGGACGACTGGACATCGGGGGTGCGGGGCGAGAGTGCTATGTTGTCCAGGCTTGATTGCACTCTGGTGGAATAAATGTTTTTTAGAATTAAAATAGGTTGGTTACATTTGAAATTTAAAAAATTTTCTTTTGATTTTACTTAATCTTATTGCATAACAGTAAAAACTATATTTTATTAAACACGAAAAATCAAAACGAATTCAATTTTAAGAATTTAAATACGTTGCATATATTGGAAACTAAAGAAAAAAAATATTACTTTACTAAACCATTTTAATACATTACATAACAATAAAAACCAAATATTATTTACCACAAAATGTAATATGAATTGAATTTTTAGAATTTAAATGCGATGCATACATTGGAAACTAAATTATTTAAAAAATTTTTTTTACTAAACCCTTTTAATAAGTTGTATAAAAATTGCATTACAAAAAAAAAACCTTATTATTCAACACGTAATCCCATCTAACACTAGAATTAAGAACGTAGAAGAAGAAGAAGACATTCACTATGGAAATGTGTTAACGTCCAATAACTCTATAGCGTATAAAGACGACATTTGTTGCTAACTTGGCGCATCTCCTGCAAGTTTTTCCCTGTTTCGATACCCTAACGCTACTCGTCAACAATGTTCCTGCATTTAAGTACAATAAAAATTGAACAAACCTGTTCTCTAGCTTTAAAATCTCTTTCGTCTGGCAACAACGGCCTTTGTCATTTTCCAAATCATTAACTTTGACGACACTAAGTCATCTCAAAGTTCTGACCACGGACAACTTTAAACCTTGATCTATTTACCTCATACTAGACTTCAGTACCCTCAAAAGCTACAGCCATCACTAGCCTCCTTAAATATTCATTTCACTCATAACCCCCCCCCCCCCCCCACCCACCCACCCCCACCCCCGCAATTACTCGCCAGATCCCCAGCCCCCTGAAATACTCGTCTGGCCCATAACCTACCTCCTCTCTTAGTACTAGTCTGACTAATAACCCACAAAACATAACCTCCTGCAAGTAGTTGTCTGACCCCTAACCCTCAAAGTACTAGTTGACCCCCCCCCAACCATCGACCTCTGACCCAGTAACAACCTTACCCCTCACCTGTTCAACATGACGGACTTATCAGACTGAGGCTCGTACCGCTGAGCCGCAGTTTGTCCATAGCCGTCGACACCTCTGTGGCTAAAGTCGGATCCGAACTCCGGCCCTCCGCCTCCGAGCTTGTTGAGAGTTATCTTTTTAGGTTGGTAGCCGGCAGAGCTCGGCATGCTGGGAGGTTGCTATTTTTAGACACAGAATGAACAAAAAAAAACCCTTAAAACATTGTTTTAAAATATGTACACGCCCTGAAACCACACGTCTTTTTTGGTACTATTTTAACAAAACCGCACACAAGAACCAAATTGACAATATATAGGGTACAACTGTTTGTCATAAGATCTCTCAATAATGTAAGTTTTGTAAATTTCTATTCAAACTTGAGAAATGGTAGATTCTATATTTGATCCAGCAGGACCAAACAGTGTTAAGTTTGATTGTTAACACGTTTTAGTCTTGCGTTTTTCTGTATACCTCTTGTTGTAGTTTTTTTTTAATATTATGTTTTATCCACATGTTATTATGCTATTGTTAATATATATTAGATTATAACATCATGGTATATATTAGCATATATTATGTGTGTTCTTATATAAATGGAATATGATAAATGCTACCCAGTATAGAGTTCGTTGCACTTATTGATAATAGTGGAGTATCCTAATTTATAAATAAAACCTCAATCGTGGAGTATCCTAATTTATAAATAAAACCTCAATCGTGGTGTATCCTAATTTATCAATAAAACCTCAATCGAAATGGGTTTCTGTACGTAAAGCACACTTAATATCCAACTTCCCAAACCGTTTTGGAAGACGTTTGTTATTGTTATTAATTATTTTTAATGAGTTATAGAAATATGTTTCAGCCACGCAGAGAGAACCAAATGCATTAGCAGGCAAGAGAGCTTCGTATACACACATGGGCAGGGTATGGGGTTGGTTGGCAAAATGGCATCGGTTACTACAAGTGCTAGTCTGGACGTAGTCACTGGGGGGGGGGGGGGTCAAATAAATCAATCCATCTCAAAGTTTGTAAAAAGCTAAACTTAGAGGTAGACCTAGCAAGTGTAAATTTTATTATACGATACGTTTCTATACATTTATTAGTATTAGGAATAAATATAATCTTATAGGGAAAACTATAATAAAATATTAATATTAAAGGATATTATTCAATAATTTCAATAATAAAAATTTTGACTTAGTGATAAATAGGATTCATGGTTAAAATACTCAAAGGTATGTCTTATATGGTATATTATATTTGAATACACTTGTTAAGATAAATTTAAACACTCATAACATACATTTTAAAATGTATTTTAATCTTTTTGTTTAATTTTTAAATTCTAATTTTTGTTTATTTTCGTTGAATATATAAGGAAACACCAAACAATTAAATATTAGTACTTCAAATTACTACATCAAAGAAAACATTTTCTGTAACTCAAAAATAAGAACCTAGTTTTGAAAATTGTAACTAGTCTAGCTATTTAAAATGTTCTAAAAGGAGAATCTAAATAGAAAAAAAAAAACAGAAAACTTAAAAGAAAGATACAAGGGAGCTTATCACAAGAAAATCATTAAGGACACGTAAAAAAAAAAAAAACACAAGGGAGACTACCGATAGGCGACGTCCGATGTTACGACGTGGAAGAGTTGCGGCGCCTGACCCGAAAGATGTGCCAAAGTCGAACCCCCCGCCTCCGAGGTTGCGGAGGCTGCAGACTTTGGGAGGTGGGCCCGTCGCTAGGCGGTCGCCTTCGACGTTTTCCTGGGCGTCGCTGCTGAAACTTTGGGTGTGGACTCTGCCGCCATATTGGGCCTGTGGTTGTTATGGAAACAAGGGCGATAAAAAGTCTGATACTCCGGGAACTACTTCTAACAAGCATAAATTACTTATTACTAATTAAAAGAGTAATATATTTATTTACATTCTGATTGGAAAAACGAAAATTCATTAAAAAAATTTAATTCAAAAATGAAAAAACAAAACATAATTTACTTCAAATTAGGTCTCAACAGAAATAATACAACTTAAAGTTAATAAATTAATAATAAATATGTGTTTAATATGTTCATTTAGCGAACATTGATAGTTCTAGTTTTTAAATCTAAATATGCTGTAAAAAGCTTTAAGAAATAGGTATGTATAAATTATTTAATGACTCAAACTTTAACCAAGAAAAAACTACTAATTAGTCGTTATAGTATATGTAAAAGAAAAAAAACACAAAATGCAAATTAGTAAATAGTTGTTTTTCCATGCAGAAACAAAAGAAAAAAATAAGCAAGGGAAATTGTTCTTTACGCAGGTGCAATATTGCTTCAAACTTCGAGTAATTTTTAATTATTTTTTTAATAACTTTAATGATAATAATAAACATAATATTATTTCACATTGCTGCTATTCAAGTTTAAAAGCTTGGTTTTGACTTAACTAATTTTTTTCTAAATATCCTTTTATGAAATTATAATTGTGATAAACATAGCAATTATTTTAATTGAATACAGAAACTAACTTTACTTTTACTAAGGGTTTTTTAATTAAATTATAAAATTATTTATATTCGAGGTCACAAACTGAAACAGTTTTAGGTTAATTATTTTTATTTTAAAGAGTTAATTTTTAGAATTGTTTTACAAGCTGTTGTTTACGTTAATAATTGCTAATAAACCTAAATTAAAAAGAAAATTCAAGAAGATTTTCAACAGTAAATTTAATTGGTATAATTCAAACAATCAAGAAAAATATTTAAAACTTTTTTAAGCCTATCCTTAAATTCCGTCTGTTCCTCTGATTTGTTATGTAATTTTAACAATTTAAAATTGTGTTTTGCGAAAGAAGCATGCTAACGCTAGTTCAAATTTACTTTAAAATAAAACGTATACTTAGGTTTGAAAGTATGAAATGCAAGCTTTGTTATTGCTACATTGTTATAGCGTTTACTATTGGAAGCAAACAGCACAATATTATGGTTATAGAGTGGTACAAAAACTCGTAAAACATATTAACATAGCCGTAACATTTTAAGGTGAAGTAAGTTAACACGAAAAAAGGTTTGTATATAAAGAAATATTAACTAGATTATAAGTACTTTTTTTAAAAAAATTACTGAACTGTTTGCTGTGTATTTTCTAACGATGCATCTATTGAGACATGCAAGCTGAAACGCTTTTGCAATTTTTAAATTAAGCATTATTTCCCTTTAATCTGAATCTGCGCTTTGAATAAGTGCAACGAATACGTCAATGAAATGAAAGAAAAAAAAACATTCACTAAATTCTAAACAATATTGAAAAGTAAAAAAAATGTAATATTAAAAAGTGTGATTTTTTTGGCAGAAAAGCGAAACAAAATACCATTGAAACATGTAAGCTTCTAGAATATTCCGCTAAACAGAGCTTACGTATTATCCAGGCATAGAACATTAAGTGAAAAATGTATGTTTTTTTTTACAAGTATCAGACCTTACAGTGTGAAAGTACATTGTAGATCTCGTTTCGGTAAAAATACATTTTAATATTATTTTGTAACTTCTATTAAATAATTTCATTTTTAGCACACACAAAAAAACGTATTTAAACTACGAATTTTCTCTTCTTTGCAACGATGCAATTTTACTATTGGTAAGATGAATGTTAGATGCCTTAGATAATACAGAAAACAAATGTGTTAATGTAACATTAGATATTGAAGAAAATAAATGTCCAAAAACGACATAGTTCTAAGCTATGTGGCGCGAAGTATATAAGGACAAAAAAGGGAAGTAAGTGCGTCATCCAGTGGTAAGTACCGAAGAAGAACGCCGTGGGAGGGTGCAGTAGTCTGTTCCAAAACTCAGCCCGCCTCCCCCCAGCTTCGACAGCTTTGAGACCTTTTTGGGCGCGAACTGTTGGGACGCCCATGGGGGCACGGGCGTCGTCGGGATGGGGGTGGTGGGGGGTTGGCTTTGCGTGGAGCGTTGCCTCTGTATTTGGTACTGTGGCGACGCCGGCGGCTGCACATGCAGTGGTTGCATGGTCTGGTATGGGGGGTTGTACTGTGGTTGGTGGCTGACGTCACGCTGGACCATGGTTATGGTTAGGGGGCGGGAGGGTGGGGTTTCGTAGGAGGGGCTCTGAAAGAAAGGGTCACGTGATGGTCATTGGGGGAGACAAAAGTAAAATTTTCAAAACAAAAAAAATATGAAAGTCCCTAAAATATTCTGGAACTTAATTCTGAAAATAAAAATCATGTTAGAACTATTTCCTCTAATTAAAAATGTAATAAAAAATTTAAAATGTAATCGAAAACAAAATATGAAAGTCCCTAACGTCGCGAATGTTTTATTGTAAACTTAGTTTCTTTAACTGTCTAAAACTGTTCCTTTTTGTTACTAAATTAATATTTGCATTTCTCTTTTACTACATATAACAAAATTGTCTTTTTAAAAACAATTATTTTGTACGATTTACTTATTTTTAAACTTAGATTTAACAAAGTCTTACGAAGGTATCAACAAGTTTGTAAAATATCGTATTAAAAATGTTAATTTATGTTCTGTTTTTTTATTTTATTTTATAAAGGAGTATGAAAATTGGGTAAACAAAAATATTTTAAATTCGTGCTTACAGAAAAAAGGTTGGAGGAAGGGTATATCTATAGTACGTAATGTTGGGTAGGATATTTAAAAACAAGGTGGTGAAAAACGAAACAAAAATCATTATAACCGAGTATTTAAGTTTTTGTTTTACCAAAATACGAATCGTGTGAAATTCAAAGAACTAAAAAACATCGATGTAATGTTTGTTTAAACCCATAGGAAGGGGTTTAAAGGGAGGTAAAAAATTCTAAAGCACAAATAATGGTTTCTTTACAGCTACTTTCTTTAACCGATCCAGTCTGGTTAGTACAAAACTGTGGGTAGCCGGAGTCGTTTCGTCGTCGAATAGCTGTTGGAGTTTCTATTCAGCAGACAAAACATTAAGTACTTTATATTAAACCATGTTCAAGAATATTTTTATTTTTTAACGTTGTGTCGTTGCTTTTCGTAAACAGCAATTAATTATTTAGATAAATTTCCTTACAGTGGCTGTAAAAATGTATGTTAAAATCCTCATTAAAAATACATATCACACTGTATAACACCGCGCTTACACTTGTGACATGTAATAAGTGAGTAGCCCCCCCCCCCCCCCCGGCCCTATACATGTTATGATTAAATTAACTTATAGCGAAGTGTAAATGCGGTGTAAGTAGTTAATTTACTGAAACTACAAAACAAACAATGAGTTTATTTTGTGAAATCCATTACTATGTTTTGCTGGAAATTTGTGAAGTGTAATTTACTTACTTACTATTATACATGACTACATATATATATATATATATATATATATATATATATATATATATATATATATATATATATATATATATATATATATATATATATATTTTATATATATATATATATATATATATATATATATATATATATATATTTATATATATATATATATATATATATATATATATATATATATATATATATATATATATATATATATTTATATATATATATATATACATATATATATATATACATATATATATATATATATATATGTATATATATATATGTATATATATATACATATATATGTATATATATGTATATATATAAATATATATATATATATATATATATATATATATATATATATATATATATATATATATATGTATATATATATATATATATATATATATATATATATATATGTATATATATATGTATATATATATACATATATATGTATATATATGTATATATATAAATATATATATATATATATATATATATATATATATATATATATATATATATATATAATGCATTTATACAGTTGTATATCACTGCAGTATAAGAATAATTCTTTAAAGTGATGTGTTTCGACAAATATTGCTGCTCATCTACTTCTTGAAACATTGTTCTAGATCTATACTACAGTAACATTTGTATGTGTTGTGTCCTTAAGAAAAACAAAACAAAATAACAATGCCATGTCAATGCCCATACCTGCAGCGATGGTGCCCTTGGCTTCTGTGTGACGATGGGTGGCGAGAGAGGGCTGACGTGTGTACCAGGGGGTGGCCTGGGGGAGGGGGAGAAGACATTGTTATAAAGTTGTTTACTGGTAGACATTGTAATCACAATTTACTATTATAAATATGATAATTTACTGTTATACAATGTTTTGACAAAACACTGTTATAAACTATAGAGATAATTTACTGGTATAAATTTTAATGTTGGTTTCGTGTTAAATATTGTCATGTTAATTTAACGATATAAATTGTTATGTTGAGTTACGCTATAAAACTAGAAAATTAGATGATAGCCAAAAAAAAAACCCTGTTCGTTTATAATATTAAAACAGTATTTAAGAAACTTAATCTAAGAAACTTAATTGTTTGTTAGTGAAAATATTGCTCTAAATTTGTATGCATTAAAACACGTATCTTAATTAAAGATATTTTTTTAATCTCTCGACCAGTCATGTACTGTAAAGACACGATACAATTCATGATTTGTTATGTAAACAATATGAAAGGGATGATACTTTGGATACCGTGTTTCTTTTAGACTTTATTTTCCGGTTGGGGGGGGGGGGCACTTAAAACTTTCGAGAGTCGGACTAAATTACTAAATTTTGCGAGTGGGGGGTGGTGGCGGGCGGTCACTGATACAGAGGCGTAGCGATGGGGGGGGGGGGGGGGGGGGGCAGGGGGTACATATGTCCCCGGGCGCCGACCTTAGGGGGCTCCAAAATGGGTTGTGAAAACAAATTAAATTGTCATTTTAGCTGCACTTTTGCATTATAGCTTGAAGGGGGGGGGGTGCAAATTGAAAATATGAACATTTGCTCCCGAGGGGGCGCCAAATTGAAAAAGGGTCGCTACGCCTCTGCACTGATACAAGTATATATTAACTATATAAATTCTAATTCATTGGTGGGTGGGAGTGTATTTGTCCTTAGGACCCCCCCCCCCCCCCCTCAAGAGATGACTGAAATAAACATTGTTTAGGTATGGTTGAAGTACGAATAGAGGACGCAGGGCTAAATAACTGCTGTCTACCCAAGACTATTCAGATTTTTCTAGGGGGTTAGGGTATGGCGGGTGTACCCCAGGGGTCCCCATGATTCAGACACGTCCCCTCCTCCTCCTCCACCCCCCGAGTGTACGTGCGTGTAGATGAGCTGACCTGTTGACGACAAGCTGCACCTGCCCACCGCCGTGTTTGATGAGGTCCTGGGCCTGCTTGTGGGTCAGCTGGGCGGCGTCACGGTTGTTGACGGACAGTATGACGTCACCTCTCTGTAGCTCACCCTCGGCGGGGCTGTTGGAGAATACCTGGAGACGAGAGGTGGAAATTTCAGGTAAAATACCTTTAGATGGTTGATAAAAATCTCAGGTAAAATACCTATCAATGGATGATAGAAATCTCAGGTAAAATACCTATCAATGGATGATAGAAATCTCAGGTAAAATACCTATAGATGGGTGATAGAAATCTCAGGTAAAATACCTATAGATGGATGATAGAAATTTCAGGTAAAATACCTATAGATGGATGATAGAAATTTCAGGTAAAATACCTATAGATGGATGATAGAAATTTCAGGTAAAATACCTATCAATGGATGATAGAAACCTTGGGTTACATAAAACCTGAGTACTAGTATTAATCGGATATAAACAATATGTGGTAGAAGAACTGAGAGCTGCTGCAAATCTACGATGGAAATTTAAATGTACGAAAATCACATATTTATGAAGTAAAACCAGTTTTACTCTATTGGAGATGGACAGAGATGCATGCACATTTTTTGTCATCGGTCTATGTCTCAGAAGGGGCGACAGGCTAACCTATCCTAACACATTTATGTTAATAGACAGTGCATAAAAAAAGTAAAAAAAAAAGATTCCTCTATAGACCAAGCGATTGATTTGGCGGATGAAGTAGAGTTAATATGCAGGTATAGTGTGTTCAGCACTATGTCCAGCTGCCTTTACTTTATCTAAAGTGAGTTATGCACTCATCTGAGCTGCGTGGACTCGAGGGCGTTCCACTGACTTTAACGCGGTTTCGAACTAGATACTTTCGGGTTAGCAGTATAGCGATCTACCAGTTATACTATGTATATGGTGCACACATGCTTATAAAAGAAGTATTGAAGTGTACCAGTGTAGAAAAAGTGTAAAAAAAAGTATACCTAAAACGACGTATCAACAAAGGTAAAACAATACGTGATAACACACGCTGATAGAAGTTTCAATAAAAGTAAATAATAAATAATTAAGCGATCAAAAGATTATTCAAAGCTTTAAAGATAAGTAACGTCAAAGTTAAGCATTTTTTAGTACTCAGCTAGGTCCTCTTTTGAAGTGCAGAAATAAAAGTTAATAAAATTATGTTGTACAACAAATAAGCCTATTGCAAAAAGAAGGAAAGGTCTTCTCAACATATTTTCAAAATCTGTATATACTTTTTTTTTTGTTTTAATTGCAGAAATTAATCTAATCTAACGGCCAATTAAAATTTGAAAGGCTTAGATATTATATTTAAGCATGTTCTTTTAGAGTTGTTGCTATAATTTAAGGGTCCCTTTATACGAAGAGGGAGGTAAATGAATCTTCCAGATAGACAACGTAGCTGCGCAAATGAAAAACTTTCATAAAAAGTACTAAAAAAGATAAATAAATTATGGTTTTACCCCACCCTAAGAAATCATCCCCCACTTAGACTTGGTGTGGACAATCTATACTAAGACTAATTAAAAACAAATGTGACAGAGAGAATTTGAGAACCGCCCAAATACACAACTATAACAGCCACAAGTTATCAAACCCCGACCAGCTTTTAACCCCTCCCCCCCCACGATTATATATACACCCGATAGAGAGACTCCAAATAAACCGAGGTCCAGGAATAGATGCAATTCAACACCACTAGGAATGAAGCAAAACATGACCCCATCCCTCTCTTCCCCGCCCCACCCATACATACATTTAAACCACTGTGTAGCGAAACATGGCTATACATTACATTGGAGCTGTCTTTGACTATACATCTGAGTGACTTTTGTTTATTTGTGAAGTGGAGTAAAGTTGGAATCCGAACGTATAGGCTGGAGAAACTCAACAAGTTGGCAAACAGCAGTATTCGACGGAAATATCTATATCAGTGGTTCTTAACCTTTTGAGTGGTACTGGACCCCACCAGTCTCATATCCGTATTAACCTAACCCTTCTTAATAGTTCTATCGTTTGCAATGACAAAATCCTATTCTTAAGCTTTTGAGTCAGATGTGTATCTTGAAATCCACTGAACCCATTAGATTGTCTCACCGAACCCCAGAAGTTTGATCGAACTATATAGTCAACAATCGACCGACCCGTGATTTTTATTTATTCTCTAACTATGGGACTGAAACTAAAATATATTGAACCAGGTAAAAAAAAAAACAACCACTGATCGTTACAATCACCCATCTACAGACCTTTAATTTTTATTTATTCTCTAGCTATGGGTCTGAAACTAAAATATATTGACCCATACTTAATCCCACCAGATAATTTAGGTTTAAACCTCTCGTAGTTTTGTGAATGGTACATTGCCTAGGCTTGTTGCAGGGTCTTGATAACAATCAGTATCTGTTTTACATCTTTTCGGTTTATGCAACACTGAAGGGGATCGGCGTGGTCGAGTCGGTAAAGTTCATGGTTGCTAAATAGAAATGTCTAGAGTTTGAGCCCCCTAGCAGATGAGGCTCGATAGCTTAGGACAACAACTCTTCCAAAATCAAACAACCGCTGCCTTGTAGTTTGTTTTTTGTTGGACAAAGGCTATGAAAACAAATCCAGAAACAAAAACAGGCTGAAATCGGAGTCAAAGTCCTGTACTTCACGTAATAAGTTGACACGTAATACTTAATTGTGTCGAAGGAGAACCCTTCCAATATTAAAATTAAGATCGAAGAAGAAGAAAACACCGGCAGACCAAAAGACAAACAAGGCGAACTGATAACAGCTGATACTCAGGTAAACCCATGATGGTGTAGTGACATCCATTTCTATGCGAATACCTCCAGCAACTCAATGACTTCGACAGTTCGTGCAATTAACCGGCAGCCGGTTAACTTAAGCGAGATAACCGGCAGCCGGTTAACTTAAGCGAGATAACCGGCAGCCGGTTAACTTAAGAGAAATAACCGGCAGCCGGTTAACTTAATAAGAGAGATAACCACAAGACGTCAAGTGACTTTTAAATCAACAAATCAACATTCCGGTCATTAGTGGGCACGGTGGGTATTTACATTGTTTGACAAGACAACCCGGCTAGCTTAGCGGGTTGCTGGTTGGTCACTGTGTACAGGTAGGTGGTTGAGAGATTGAGATTGATGGACCGGGGAACTGTTTGTTTTTACAGGGCTGTTCTGACGACAGTTGTAGTTTTAAACATGCCTCTAGGTTTATATTCGTTTCTCTAGCCCCCTTCGTGTAATATTTGCTAGATGTAGCCTTTCTAGCACTATCAGCTTCATGTAGCCCTTGGTACACTATCTTCTCCTTGTAGCCACCTCATGCAATATTTGATTTCTTTAGTACCCGCCAGGTTTAACCTACTCGCTTGGGTCTCTCAAAGGTTTACTATGTTGATAAGTGTAAGCTATTTATGTCTAATGAATAACTCAAATAGAATAACGACACAGGTATTCCGACACAGTATATCATGTAAATCAACGTCCGAACTGGACAAGTATATAACAAGCAAACAGATACATCGTGAATCCTTTAGGCACAAGAACTCAGCACAAAGGCTCAGCTACAGCTTAGGGTCCCCGCTTTCTTGCAGGGATCCACAAAAGTATTTTCTTTAAACCGCATACATTTTGTCGCCAAATATACTTTTTAACATTTAAATCCTTTTTTTTCAAATTACAGTTCTTAACACACATTCTTTTCTGCAAAGATCTTTTTAAAAATGCAATTCTGCACTGACATAATATATATTGGCTAATAAAGAGCCTATTATGAAAAAGAAAAGGCTTAGGTCCTTATCAAGTCTAAATCCGGTCCTGCAATAACCAGCAACTTGAACACTGACCCATTACGCAATGACATCGTTACTTACACTGTTGTATGCCCTCTTGTTTTTCGTGGATAATTTCTGTATTCCCCAAACACTCAAATCACATCTCCTCATGAAGTTGGCAGCATACTCTATAACCCAGCGACCAGACCACCCATCCAGTTGGCCATCGATATGTGTAAGGGTGTGGTCGAGTAATAGAGCGCAGGTCTAGTGTGTAGGTTTCGATTTCTATAAAACGCTGATATTACAGCTTTAGCCTAAGCCTTTTCCTTCCTTTGATTTAACAACCCGACATAATCAAAACTTAAAAGCAGAACGCCCCCCCCCCCCCAACCCTTAATAATACCTGTGATTATTGACACACAAGGCATATCTGCCCACTACCCCCTCTTTAGCTGTCATTAAATGATTTGAAAGACATCCCCAACACATCAAACTAGTACCTGTAGTTAAACAAATTAAGAACACCATTCCTATTTCAGTCTGCTTTTAGTTGTGATATGAAGGAAATACCCCTACATAATCTAATTAGTAGACTTGATATTAAAAAACATCTCGCACCTTCCCCATTACCAACGTTCTGTTTGTTTTTTTTTAAATATTTTTATACTGCTTATTTATAGCTCCTAGTAAACCCCTCTCAAATTTCAAAAACATGTTTAATTAACAATATTAAAAAAATTAAACACCTGACTTAAACACATTGCTTCTTGTGATGAAGGCTCTTAGAAAGATATTCAGCAAAGCGGCATAACTCTGTTTTCACTTAATCTCCCAGCTTGGCAGGGGCAACATGTGTTGATACACAAGGTAGTTTATGATGATGTTTGTTGATGTTGTTGTGTGGGCGAGACACTCTACAGATAAGCTGAGGCAGACGGAGTACCTGTCTGCTAAGGGAGCCAATGATTGGTTACCATTTTTATATCGTCAGAGTCTAAGCCAAATAAATCAAGTTTTCAGATGTAAAAATGAGTTGCAGACCAACTTGTTAACAAATTCAATAAACACTTTTATAAGATCAGATTTGATTTTCTGAGCCAAATATACAAAATTTCTGATTTTAAAATAAAATAAATTTAAAAATTGTCTGTAGAAAATGTTACTTTAAGGTATTTAAATCGCATTTCAGTGTTAACCAAATTAACATCTAATTTCTATGGAAAGAGATATAAAACACACTATGTAAGATATCTAGCTGTAAAGAGAAGTTCAATCAGCCTAGATTATAAGCTAAAACACAAACATAAACTTT